TTAACAACTGATAATCACAGTGATAACCGGTTAGTTTACTGGTTGTTTAGCTTGGGGCTGTGCAGTCTGGCAGGGAAGGCGGGGAAAGGAGGCTGGTGGTGCCCCAGCAGGCACCAGAAGGCGGCAGGCAGACAAGAGAGAGGGGTGACGGGGACCAGTACCCAGAGCCTAAATGGAAAACAGCATGCAGCCTACTGACTCATCAGTTAAGCAATTAGCTGCTGGTTCACAGGTGCTCCCAGCCAAGGCTTCAGATTGGCTGTGTTGTCTGGCTGGGCTTGTCACTGCCTTCCCTCTCCTCCCTGTCCCCCCCACCAGGCAAAGGCCCTCCCCCCCCCCAGGAGCCCAGCAGCAGCTGTGTCCCACCTGCTGTGTTATTGATTAACCGTTTAACCAATGTAATTAGAGGAGACTAAACAAATATTTCTTTTAACAATATTTACATCCCTACTTCATTTGCCAGGTTTTTATAAACATTCTGGAAGCAGACAAGATAAGGGGATTCGAGCTTCCTCTAATAATTGAAGAAGGCAGTTAAGTGTGTCAGTAGCCCTGTATCTTTCAGTCTGTTTTTTCTTGGATTGTTATATGGTTCTTTTTTCCCTGTGAAGTCATGATGACTACAGAACCTTTTTATGTACTTTCTTTTATCTTGAGAGATGCAGTGCAGCCCCGTTTTGGATGGAAAGCATCATCCAGGTATATCAGAGCAGATCAGAGAGGATACATTTTGCCTAGTGACACAGGGACTCTTGGGGGTGGGGAAAAATCCCATTGTTTCATAGAATTATAGAAAATGAAGGTTGGAAGGGACTTTGGGAGGTCATCTAGTCCAACCCCCTGCTCAAAGCAAGACTACCCCCAACTAGATCATCCCAGCCAAAGCTTTGTCTAGCCAGGTTTTAAAAACCTCCAAGGATGGAGATTCCACCACCACTCTGGGTAACCTGTTCCTGTGGTTTACTACCTTCCTAGTAGGAGTTTTTTTCCTAATATCTAACCTAAACTTCTCTTCTTCAGGTTAAATAAGCTCAGTTCCCTTAGCCTCTCAAAAGTCATGTGCCCCAACCCCCTAACCATTTTTGTTGTCCTCCCCTGGACTCTCCGATTTGTCCACATGGTTTCTGTAGTGGGGGGCCCAAAACTGGACATAGTACTCCAGATTTGGTCTCACCAGTACTAAACAGAGGGGAAGAATCACTTCCCTTGATCTGCTGGCAGTGCTTCTACCAATGCAGCCCAGTATACCGTTAGCCTTCTTCACAACAAGGGCACTGTGGCAGGACGCCCTCAGGGGTGTCGTGACCTCCCCTAGCACCCTTGCCTACTGTGCCAAGTCTGGGTCCCGAATGCACCCTCTGTCTCGCCCGCCACGTCTTTGATCTTCTATTGTTCAATGGGAGGCTGCCTTCCTGCCCTCCTTGGCACGGGCTGGTCTTACTCTACCAGGAGTCTGCTCTACTCCCTGGGCTGGCCTTCTCCCGGGCCTACTTGATATGTGCCCTCTCCTGGGGCTTCTCCCTGCGCTCTCGCCTGCCGGGGCCCGTGCCTCGTGCTCCTCGCGCTCTCTGCCTGCGCTTGCCCCCACTGGGGCCTTTTATGTTCGCGCTTCCCGTGCTTGCCCACGCTGGGGCCTCTAACTGGGCTCGCCCCCCTTTCGGGACTTCCCCCTTCCAGGCAGCGCCCCACTGGGGCCTACCCCTCATACGTCTTGCGGTCACCCACACTCGGGCCTGCGCCCCGTGATCCTTGCCCAACTCGGGCCGCTACTTGCGCTTCCCGCGCTCCTCGCGTTTCACACGCTCGGGGCTCAGGCGGCCTCAGCCTTACCTGGTCCCAGACCCCTTGCAGGGTCCTACGCCCGACTCGGGCCTGTACTCGCGCTTCCCGCGCTCCTCGCCCGACTCGGGCCTGTACTCGCGCTTCCCGCGCTCCTTGTAATCAGGGCTCAGGCGGCCTCAGCCTTACCTGGCCCCAGACCCCTTCTAGGGTCGTATGCCCGACTCGGGCTTCTCCCAGTTGGGGCTCAGGCGGCCTTAGCCTTACCTGGCCCCCAGACCCGCCTTCTTGGGTCTATGCCCCACTGGGGCCTACTCGCGCTTCTTGCGCCCTTGCCCACTGGGCC